AATAGATCTGGCCAAAAGATTTTGTATGCAATACAGGAAAGAGTAGTTGATCTGCAGAAACAGGTTGGTGATATCTTGATGAAGATTCTCAGCCAGCCAGGTAAAGTTGTCTGAAGGTTGAGCCTGGACTTATATTTCTTCTTAGCTTGAGACATTGCTCATCCAAATAGCAGCTTCATCAGTCAGAGCTACTTAGTTAGGCAGAGAGTCCTTAGATGTACTAACAACATAACTAACAATAACAACTCAGGGGTTTCTTCCCCAAAGTGCATTGAAATATGATGATTGGAGAGGAAACCTGAAGTTGACCAGCCAAATGTCTCAAACTAAGAAAAATAAGTTCAGTTGCCATGACTCAACCTTCAGACTGGTTGCTGATAAGTGTCAGGGTTTGATTAGCCTTTTCTGGGGGGTGGGGCATCTGATCAAAGATTTGGGACTTCTCTGTATAACATATTTTTTTTCCTTTTTTCTTGCTGCTAATTTTATGACTCTTGATTTTGCTGATGCATGCATTTGTACTTTATTAGTTTGCATTGTATTTGTACAATAGGGTATTTTAATAAATCTCTACGTGGACGCCTGTTGCTGATGCCACGTAGCTAATTCATCTTATTCTGGGTCAGAGCTCATGTCATTAAAAAAAAAATCACTGCTGAAAATAAAACCTGGGCTCTCCCACGAAGAGAGGGGTTGAAAGATATATTTTCCACATTATTATTTTAGCTTATACGTTTTATAACAATTATGTTTTAATATTGATTTCATGAATATTCATTATATTAGTCAGCAAGCATTGTCAAGGGTTAGGATTAGGGTTAGAATGGAAGAGAAAATGTCTAAACACAAATTGCCACCCGAGTCATCTCTAAAGCTGTGCGTGTTCCATGTGTGCTGGCCTGGTTTTGATCGCGTGACAGCAGTTGGTGCTGTAACAGACCTAATTTCAAGCATGAGTTGCAAGTCCCTTCGTTCAGCGCTGTCGTAAATCAGTGATCCTGAACTGAGGACTCTGTGTATTTCTCTGCGTGTGTGTCCCGCCTGTGTTTTCCCCAGCTGTTCTTATCATCTCCTTGTTTCAATATGCCAGAAAGCATTCTAGGAGAATGAAAACAATGCAGCACATCATCGTTAACACAGCATACACAAAACTTTGCCGCTCTCCGAAGATCCTACAACGAAAAAGGCAGTGTCAACCCCAAGGAAATCTGGGGACATTGTGGAATCTGCTGGGGATGGGAGAGTTACTCTAATCACACAAGCCATTAATAGATGGCATGTATTCTCTCTGAGGGAGAGATGGGCAGCTAAGGAGTGTGAAATATTAAATTCTTGTTACGATCTTCATTTATTTAGCGTATGGCATCTGAAAAGATCATGGTCTTCATGATACAATTCCAGAGCATAGGTAGTCCCAATTTAATGATCATTCAGCGGCCATTCAAAGTTAATAACAGCACTGAGTGAACGGTACTTACACCCATTCCTTGACCTGCCTAGCAATTGACAACATCGCATAGAGCTTGAAAATAGCTTGGAGTAGTGTTTCTCAACCTTGTCAACTTTAAGAGGGGTGGACTTCAGCTCCCAGAATTCCCCAGCCAGCTATGCTGGCTGGGGAATTCTGGGAGCTGAAGTGCACCCCTCTTAAAGTTGCAAGTTTGAGAAACACTGGCTTGGAGCATTTCTGTAGATAGAAGAGCCTTTGGGTTGGGTTCCATTGCATAGGTCAACCAGCTACTGAAGGATGGGGGTCTTGTAGTTCTTGCCGTTCTGCTGTGAATACATTTGCTTAGCAAATATTGTGCTTTAATGAGAATCACTCTGGTGATATTAAGTTGAAGAGCCAAACAAAAATATTACCTGGCACGAGGAAGAATTAAATTTTTCAGCACTATTTCTGTCAAGCTACAAAGATGTGTTGTTATTAGGACTGCCATATTGCTTCTAGCTTGCCTACAGTTGCAAGGGGGGAGGGAAGCGCTTGGGATCCACAGGTGCTCCCTATCAGCGTGAGAGCCGAAGCCGCTGAGGAGATGTTTTGGCGAACCGAAGTTTTCTTCTCATAACAATTGCTGGGAGATTAATTGGACTTTTAATTATCTGTTTCCCGCCATATTGCCAGAGCTAGCGTTCCTTCTATCTTACCGGTATGCTATGCCTAATAAAGTTTACATTAGAGATCGCCCATGTCTCTGGACACTTTTCTTTTATGATTGAAGATGCTGGTCTTGTGCTGTGAAGTTCAACCTGAAGCCGATTTGCATAAATCCTCTGTATTGTGACCCAATTTATATTCTGAATCATAAAGCTGGGAAAAGGCCATTTAGGTCACTTTTGTAGCGTTGTATTTGGTGTAGGATTTCAAATGACAGCATCTGCAGTGTTGAGTCTCGGCTTCAACAGACAAAGGTGAAGCCTTTGCAGCCCCTGCCGTTGTCCTGGAATGTGATCATCCTTGTAGCCCATCTGTTCCAGCAATAGGGCGCTTAGTTCTCCCAGAATGCCCGCCTTTGGGGTCACGGGGTCCTGTAAATGGGTGAATGTTGAGTAGGTGAGCAAACAGACAAGTTGGACATTGAGACAGGTGCTTTTAGGCTTATTCTGAATTTTAGATAAACCTTGTGCCCAATTTTGGAATGATCAAATTTTAAATTGGACTGGTTCATTGTTATAATACGCTGTTTCTCTCTTGCCTTCCAGGGCTTACTCCCTTGTGGACTCTAGTCAAGTATCCACGTTCCTAATTTCCATTCTTCTCATTGTTTACGGCAGCTTCAGGTAAGGTCATTGCCTTTTGTGTAACGCCACTCCCCCCCCAGCAAGTCCAGTCTGCTGAATGTATATTGATGCTGTTTCCCTGAAATTATAATAATAATAATAATAATAATAATAATAATAATAATAATAATAATAATTATTATTATTATTATTATTATTATTATTATTATTATTATTATTATTATTATTTAGCATGTTACTTGTTCTTGGAAGCTTTCATGGAAGATTTTTAAAAAAAAAAGGTTGTGAAGAAGCAATTACTTTTATTGTGACTTATTTAAAGGTGAAAATTGAAGCATTTGTCAATTTATTCTTAAGGCTCATTTTAATCCAACTTGTAATAAAAATTGCAATCTGGCTCTTTTACCTGAAACGCACCAGATAAATTCAGGGAAAGAGTGACACATTCCTTCAATTTCTAAGAAAAAAATAAGCAAAGACTCCAGAGCTGTTACAGAAGCCTGGGAAATCTCAAAATAACACAGCATTGTGCAGTTGCTGCTCTTCTTCAGTGTTGTTTTTGTTAAATTCACAGAGAATTTGGGGAAGAACTGAAATGTTCCAAAATTGCTATTCTTGATGTACTGAAGAGGAAGTTTACAGGGAAGATAGGCAGGTAGCTAGGTAGATAATTTATTGATTGATTAATTTTATGACCAGTTAAAAAAATAAAAATAAAGATTAAATACAAGTTAGGTTTCCAAGTTAAAATAGGTAAAAAAAAAAAGTTAAAATAGGTAAAAGAAAACACAATGATAAAATATGTGCTAAACACAAAGAATCAACATTCAAGCATAGTAGTTTAATTTAATATAATTTAAATGCTGCCCATCTCACTCTACAAAGCGACTTAACCATTTTTACATGATACTCCGATCAGTTTTATTTTAATTTTATTTATCACATTTAGAAACCGCCCATCTCCCTCACAGAGGCCTCCGGGCAGCGTATGAGTAAAATATTAACACCATCTGATAAGAGTTCTTAGCTGAACTGCCTTGTCTGTAAACTTAGCAGATCTGCTCACGATGTATACATTAGCCCAGGAGGAAATAGGACTGTCTACAATTCAGGCCCCAATGG